TTGCTATTTAACTCCCCTCAGCACTGTTTATTTAGAGGGTTTGTCAAGAAAGCAAAAATCCCATGACCTCCCCAAATCCCATGGCCCCCAAAGATCCTGTGCCCCCTCAAAGATCCTATGATCCCCAAAGATGTGTTTCCTGGTTTGTCTGCTTGAAATACATATCTTTTTAATTTGCCTACTAAATGATCGAAAAATGCACTAACATTGTTGCATACAATCTGTTTTTAATACAGTGGTGCCTCGCTTAATGAGTGCCCCGTTTAACGAAGAATCCGCATAGCGATTTGTTTTTTGCGATCACAAAACCGATCGCATTGCGATCTTTTTAATGGCCAAAAAAAACGCTTTGCGATGATCGGTAAGCTGTTTCACTTACCGATTCTCGCATAGCGATGTTTTGAAAACAGCTGATCGGTGGTTCCGAAATGGCTGCCGGAAAAAAAATGGCTGCCCGCAGTGTTTTCGCTTGTGAAGTCTCTTTCAGCTATAGTGGGGATAGACGAGCGAGCAGGAAGCATTGTTTATGCTTTTATACATGTTCTAAACTATCTAAATGTCATCCCAGATCACAGACTGGTGGGTTCAGTCGGCCTACTTGGAAAACCGCCTCCCTCTGGCTGTTCACTCAAACCCGGCTGTGGTGTTGCCAAAACAGGACTTCAATGATTGGAAAGGCCAGCTGAGGTAAGGAGAATGGGGAAGGAGAGGCCCTACAGAAGCCTTTTTTTTTTCTTTTTCCTCCTGACCGAAGGAAGGTGTTTTCCCCCTTCCTCCAAAGAACCCATTATTCAAATGCTATAAAGGCTTTTCTGAAGAAGGTCTTCCATTTGATCCTGGCAGGATTCTGGAGTAGATGTCTAAGGCGCCACTCAGTAGAACATGGCTGCTGTATGCAGTAGGGTCAGCACAGTGAATGTTGAAATTTTTGAGGCGTGTGTGGGCCACATGATGTTCTTGGACTACAACTCCCCTCAGGCATAACTAGCATGTGCAGTAGTGAGAAATCATGGGAATTGTGGTCCAGGAGAGTCACAAGCTCCCAGCATGTAAAACCATTACATCAGAGTTACCTAAGTGTGCCAGTAGTGTCTGGAACCTCTTAATCATGCCTTTCTCCTGCCTCCTTGGTAATGGCCCACTAGAATATTTGCTCCACATAGTCCGGGGATTTCTCCTCCTCTCTTCCTCCTTACTTGCGTGGATGTGCAACTTGTTTGAGCGTCTGATGGGCCAGCTAGATGATAGGAGTAGTATGTTTCCGAAAGAAGTGCTCCCTGTAGCAGTGAAATATGTCTGTTTGTCACAGCCTTTGCTTTTCCTCACCTCTGTATCTTGCATTGAAACTACTAGAAAGAAAGCTTTCTGAAGCAAGAGGAAGAAAAGGTTAATAATGTTGGCAATAGCAGTTTGTTAAAAATAAAGGAACCGATAATGCTAATGGATGGCATCTGCAAGTCTATGAGGGAATCAACGGAGAAGGGGGAACTGCACCCAGTCACACTTTCCAAAATCTAAAAATATCTGCAGAGTAAATGCTGAAATCAGAATGGCTCTTTTCTGATTTGTCAAGCTCTTAACTCAACATGAAATACTTGTAGATTGTACCACTGATGCTCTCTGCATCTCTGTTGGATCAGTTCCTTGAACTGCCAAGATGGTGTGCGAGTCCTTGCAGTTTGAGTACAGGTGTGATGTACGCAGCTTGTTACCGATATGCTGGAGAGTGAATAACCATTGCTGAAATCCTGTTGCCTAGTAAGCAAGATGCGCTAGAGTAGACCATCTGAATCAGTGGGGATCTAGCAAGTCAACTCCTCTGCAACCTCCATGGATTCTAGTGAGTCTACTCTTAATTGCAACGTACTGTGCTAAAGTAACAAGTAGAGTAGGTCCATTTGAATCAGTGCAACCTACGGAGAGTTGACTTGCCAAATCTCCACTGATTCATTGGGTCTACTTTAGTGGGACTTAGGATGCTGAGAAACAGGATTTAACCCAGTATGTAGAGAGAAGTTTATGCAAGTCCGTAACTAGTTAAACATGATGCAAATTATATACAGTAATTATAAGTTGTGTAGGTGCCATGTAAGACAGTGGTTGGTGTAACTTTTTACTGGCAGCAGATCAAAGTGGACTTAAGTGACCAAACCAGTATCCATGACTAGAATAATTGCAAGAGAACAATAAGTGTTGGGGGTATAGCTCAGCGGTAGAGCATTTGACTGCAGATCAAGAGGTCCCTGGTTCAAGTCCGGGTGCCCCCTTGTTTTAGAGGAATTTGTTTGTCTCTTTTTTAGCATTCTGTGACACCAGCTAGTCAAGGAGAACAAAACGTAGAAATACCTTTATGCTAGAATAAACTAAAAATCAGTAATAGGACACACCCCAATACCCTGTATTTGTTCTCCAACTTGTCAGGAGGAGAACAAGTGCACTAAACCATGAAACTGTGATTTGTTTAGCTTTTCCTACTACAACTGGGATAAGCCTGCTTGTTTGTTGTCCGTGATACTTACTATGACAGCTTATTAACGTGACAGAATGTATTCCATGTGTAATGAGGCACGCAATCAGCCTAAGTTTGGAAAAATTACTTTTTTTATATAGAACTCTCAGAACTTCCTACCCAGCATGACTGTCAGGATTCTGGGAGTGGTAGTCGAAACAAATACATCTTCAAAGCACTGATGACATATCTATATATTTTTTGTTTATAAAAATATCAATACAGTAGTGCCTCGTTGAACGACGATAATCCATTCCAGGAAAATCGCTGTTAAGCGAAAACATCGTAAAGGAAAAAAAAAACCATTGAAACGCATTGCAACCCCTTCAATGCATTCCAATGGGTTAAAAACTCACTGTCCAGCGAAGATCTTCCATAGGGCAGCCATTTTTGCTGCCTGTCTTGCAAGGAATCTGTCCCAGAAAACAGCGGGGAGCCATTTTGTTTACCCAGTGGCTATTTTGAAACCGCCGATTAGATGTTTTAAAATCGTCGTTTTGCGAAGAATCAGTTCCTGAAGCAAGGAACCAATCGGTTTTGTCATAATGCGGGGCATTCGTAAAGCGAGGCACGACTGTACTATGTCTAAGGTTCCTATGTTTTCAGTGGCCTTGGTAGCCGGCCAGAATGTGCCCTGCCTCAAAAGTTGAGGGAAAGTGTCTTAATGGCTACATGATGCTAAGCTCTGAGGTCCGGTATGGTCAGCTTTGTGTTTTTGCATTTCCCCATCGTGTACTGAGCTGCAGAGATGCAGTGTGTCTCATTTCGGGGTCTTCAACAAGCTTAGAAACTGGCGCAGCATGTGATGTTGCCCGATTCTCTGTGAAGTCAATTTAAAGATGTGGTGGACTCTTTTTCCATCCCTAAAGAAGGCTTGGTGGTGGAGGTGGGACCTGGAGAGAGCATGAAAATACCCTTCCCGTGGCAAGCTAGCAGATGTGTTTGTGGGCCTCTGCTGTTGATTCCCAAAAAACGTCTCAAGTTTCTTTAAGAAGATATGGAAGAAAGGGAGAATGAGAGAAAGGCAGAAGGAATGAAAGAACAGCAATGAGAGGGGTGTTTCCATGGAAGATAGCTGTCCGTCGTGGTTGTTCCTCCACTATAGTGTGCAGCTGTGAGTACAGTGGTGCCTCGCTTGATGATGTTAATTCGTTCCAGCGAAATCACTGTAGAACGAAAACATCTTCAAACAAAATGAAAGAAAACCCATTGTAATGCGTTCCAATGGGCTGAATACCTACTCGTCCAGCGAAGAGCCTCCATACGGCGGCCATTTTCTGTGCCTGTATAGCAAGGAATCTGTCCTAGAAAACAGCGGAGGGCCATTTTGAAAGCAGGCAGCCATTTTGAAAGCCGATGAATCAGCTGTTTGCTGATCGTCGTAAAGCGAAAAATAGGTTCCCGAAGCAGGGAACTGATCGTTGTTAAATGAAAAAAACACAATCTAAACATCACAATTGCGATTGCAAAAACCTCATCGTAAAGCAATTTCCTCGTTAAGCGAGGCAATCGTTAAGCAGGGCACGACTGTAATGTTTGAGGTATCCAGAGTATATCAGGGTGTGATGGTGGAGTTAAGGGATGACCAGCCATTGTTCCCCATCACCAAAAGTTGCTCCTGCCTCCAAAAGTCAGGCTTTTCCCCCTCACCCTCCTTTTGAAAGAAAAAGAGATACTTTTCCGTGCTCATCTGTGGAGCTGTATGGTGCGGGAACACCGGCCAGCCCCTTCCTGCACCACAGAGGGAGTGCCATTGGCACAGGACCTCCAGCGTTGTCAACAGGGGCTGCCCGTTTTTGACTGCAGTGGTGGTGGCAGAGTGGGTGGACAGTGCCAGAGTGGGCTGCCTACTTTCAGATATTGCCCACATTGGTGTCGGGGCAAGGACCTAAGTGGTGTTCTGGAAGTTACCTCAGAACACTTTAACATGCTCAGATGTGCTGGGGATTGTTCTCTGCTGGAAAAGTTGTTTATAGAGGACGTATCATGTAGGTGTAATGTTTGGGAGCTTTCCCTCATATATATATGGGAAGAGAACTATGTGGCAAAACCAGTATCCATGACTAGACTTTAGCTCACACATTTGCATGTGCTGGGGGTATAGCTCAGCGGTAGAGCATTTGACTGCAGATCAAGAGGTCCCTGGTTCAAGTCCGGGTGCCCCCTCTCTCTTTTTTTTTTGAGGAAATCAGTTGGATTTTAGTCTTTCCTGCTTTTGGACACCTTTGATGGATAAAATCTAGAAATGCCTGTCTACTAGGAGGCGTATATGTTAAGGCAGATCACATACTGGAAGCTAAAGTTCTTTGCACAATATATGGGCGTTCCTGGAGTGAGTCATAACAGCTGAGCATTTGACTGCTGTTCAGAAAGGATCCTTGGTTCAAATCCAGATGCTCCCTCTTCTGGAGAAAGAGTAATGCCTTTGTATGCTTACTTTTTCTGATCTGCAAGGGCTGTAGGTGGGTAAAAACTAGAAATAGCTAATGGCAAATAATATAATCGGAAATGTCATTACATTTTCCATGTATACTGGGAATTCAAGCACCTTGTATAGTTTTAAGAACCCATCTTCTCCACAGTCAGAGATCCACCAATTTTGGCTAGCTTTACCGAGGAGTCAAAAGTCTGCATTCTCTCAAAGGAAGTGAGAAGGAGCCCTCATATGATGCCATAGGTAAAGGTAAAGGTTCCCCTTGACAATTTTTGTCCAGTCGTGTTCGACTCTAGGGGGCGGTGCTCATCCCCGTTTCCAAGTCATAGAGCCAGCGTTTGTCCGAAAACAATCTTCCGTGGTCACACCATTGGTGCTTTCTGATCTGGGGGATATTTAATTCTTTCCGAGGTTAAGAAGAAAAGTGTGGGATCTCGGGAGAATGGCGAAAGGCTATTACCAGTGGCACGTTGACATGTTTGTTCCTACACACCTAAACCCCCATAGCAAAACCTCCAACTTTAGGAGCAGAAAATTAACTGCAAGAGTTATGTTTTGTTCTCTGTTGCCTAGAAAGGTTCTGAGATGCTTGGGGTGTGTGTGTGTGTGTTCAGAAATGCCCCATGAGCTGCATGCAACCCATATACACCACATTTTGTCTCCTCCAAATGAAGATACATAGCTATAGCTGGGATGATGTATCACCGTTTTCTGCAAGTTAGCTCATAAATGAGGAGGAAAGTG